GTTTACCAAGAGATTGTACATGTTTGAAAGGCTACAGAGCAGTCTGCTGTGTAACCTTCAAGCAGTGTTCTAGCACATGAAGTGCTAGTTTATTTTAGAGTTATCTTTTCCAGGATAAACCACTGTAGTTTATCTACATATTTATTAAACTCTATCTTGACATTTCCTTCCAAACACTTAGAGCCATAGAGTTTTACAGCATGAAACAGACCCTTCAGTCCAACTTGTCCATGCCGACCAAATATGCTAAACTGATGTAGTCCCACTTGTCAGCACTTGACCCATTTCCGTATAAACCCTTCCTATTCATGTACCTATCCAGATGTCTTTTAAATGTTGTAAATGTACCAGTCTCTGCCACTTCCTCTGGCACCTTGTTCCATACATGCACCACCTTCTGCATGAAAAGTTGCCCCTCAGGTCTCCTTTAAATCTTTCCACTCTGACCCGAAACCTATGGTCTCTAGTTTTGAACTTCCTACCTATTCACCCTATTCATGCACTTCACAATGTTATAAATCTCTATAAGTTCAGGACATAAGGGTGGCATGGTGACTCAGTGGTTAGCACTGCTGCCTTGCAGCGCTGGGGACCCAAGCTTGATTCCACCCTCAGGTGAGTGTTTCTGTGGAGTTTGCATGTTCTCCCTGTGTTTGTGTGGGTTTCCTCCGAGTGCTCCAGTTTGCTCTCACAGTCCAAAGATGTGTAGGCTGGGTGGATTGACCGTGTTAAATTGCCCATAGTGTCCAGAGATGTGCAGATTAGGTGGATTAGCCATGGAAAATGCAGAGTTAAAGAGATAGGGTAGGGGGGTAGGTCCAGGTTGGGATGGTCTTCGGAAGGTCAGTGTGGACTTGATGTGCTAAATGGCCTGCTTCCACACTGTAGGGATCGTATGATTCTATTCTAGGGAAAAATGCCCCAGCCTTTGCAGCCTCTCCCTATAGCTCAAACCCCCAATCCCAGCAACATCCATGTAAATCTCTTCTGAACCCTTTCAAGTTTAACAACATCTTTCCTCTAGCTTCACAGTTTCCAAAATTATTAACAAAAAGCATTGTCTTAACATTATTGCGTGAAGTATCGACTGAAAATATTCCCCTTTTCCAACCCTGCCATCTCCTGTCAAGATGGGCTGTTGACAAATTCCAGCACTGTGGCAATCCCACAATTCTCCCTGGCCTGCTCATTCAAAATGTTGTGAAGAGATGATGGCCTGAATGCTGACTTGGAAGTTTCTTTCAGCAACTGAAACTAAAAGGGTAGGATTAGTAACAGTATACCAAAGCTCATAGTATGAAAGAAATGGTTGTGGGCTGCCACTCATCAAGAGCATACCACTTCCATTTTCCCGCAAACCAATCAGTTTTATCTCTTTCATTATATTTTCTGTAAATCATATAACAAAACAAACAGCTGAACAGTTAATTTGCACAATCAAAGAAAAGCTAAGAAGTATCACCATTCACCGATGACATCTTAAGGTTCTTGTGCCCTATTGAGTGATAGGATTAACTGTTTCTTGAAGAGGCAAGGATTAATTATGATGGTCAGCATGGTTTTGTTAAAGGGCAGTCGTGCCCTACGAACTAATTGTTTGAGGAAGTAACAAGAGGGATTGATGAAAGTACTGCTTGGATGTTGTGGTATTTTCTTACATGTGCAGATAGCAATTTGTTTCTCTGATATTGTACAATGTCATCAGACTTGTTCTGTTTGTTATTGTTTGAAAGATTATTGTGACCACCTTGTAAAGCTGAAAATATTGGAATTTCCATAATTTCCTCAATAGATGCACATAGTGCTGCTTTATGAACAACATCAGTCAGCAAAATTGGCATTGCCATTGGAGAGGGTGAACAATTCTCGCACTGATCTGGGAAAGCATCAGAGTGATATTGATATTCCACATCAAAACCAAAGAGTTAGGTGCCACCGGATTTTATTTCTGAAATGAAGAAACTGGGCCTGAAAGTAAAATAGTTTCAGGTCATCCACTGAGGAAAGAAGCTCTTCCACATATTCATTAATCCCTAGTTTTGCTAGGATCAAGCAAAGTATCAAGATGTAAATTACTCAAAACCAGCTTTGCTGGACAGTATATTCATATGGCAGGAACCAGACTCCCCATAGAAGGGCGGCATGGTGGCTCAGTGGTTAGCACTGGTGCCTCACAGCACCAGGGACCCGGGTTCGATTCCACCCTCGGGCAACTGCCTGTGTGGAGTTTGTACATTCTCCCCATGTCTGCGTGGGTTTCCTCTGGGTGCTCTGGTTTCCTCCTGCAGTCCAAAGATGTGCAGGTTAGGTGAATTGGCTATGCTAAATTGCCCATAATATTCAGGGATGTGTGGGTTGCAGGGGAATGGGTCTGGGTCAGATGCTCCGAGGTTCGGTGTGGACTTATTGGGCGGAAGGGCCCATTTCCACACTGTAGGCATTCTAAAAAAAAAGAAGCTGGAATTTGGTCGTGGCAAGAGAGGAAATCAATGGAATTGCTTTAGGGATACTCCAAAGCACCCTTGAAAAGGACAAATCTCACTGACTTCTAGGAGCTCATACCTTGTGAACAATCAAAATGGGGAAGGTTTGTTCTGGAAGGCACCAAAAACATGACATACTTTGCCAGGAATACACAAGTTGAAGCATTGGAGAAAATGCTCAAAACTTCAAACAACTCATCCACCCAATTCTCCAAATACCACCTCCCACGTTGGACAAGGCGTGCACATCATACAACGTACTTGGATTAAATTCAAGCCATTCCAGAACCCATTGAATCAGTGTGGAAGCAAGTAGCCTTCAGTATCCATGGAGTGCTTAAGAAGATGTCAGTGTTACCATAGCAATAGAATTATCATGTTCAAACAAGAAACAGATTCGATAATTTAAAAAGGGGCAGAATGTACTAATTATGTTAAATATTTAATTATTTTCATAAACAACTGTTAAAACCTGTATGGTTTGGGAGTGAAGCTGTAATTTTACCAATGTGATGTTACATTAAAAAATTCTTATAATATGTCCTTGTCTTTAGTTTTGGAAGGTTGGAACCAAATTTGAGGAGACAATATTTGAGCCGTTCCTTCAGTGTCGCTGGGTCAAAAACCTGGAATTCCGTCCCTAATAGCATTGTGGGTCAATCCACAGCAGGAGGACTGCAGCGATTCAAAAAGGCAGCTTACCACCACCTTCTCAAGGGCAACTAGGGATGGACAAGAAATGCTGGCCAGCCAGCGACGCCCACATCCCACAATGTATAAAAAAAAGGGAGAAGGCCGTAGTGACTGAAATTCACAGATAGAAGATTGAGAGCACCAGCACTTGCAAATGTCCTTCCAGGCTGACATTGTCCTGAATTGGAAATATATCATCATTTCTTCACAGTCGCTGGGTCAAAATCCTCGAACTCCCTCCCAAATGGCATTGTGAATCTGCCAACAATACAGGCTGCAGTGGTTCAAGAAGGCAGGTCATTCTCAAGGGCACCATCTCAAGGCCAACTCAAGATCAGTGGTAGATACCGGCCCAGCCAGTAATTCCCTCAATAGCAAGAATGATTATTTTTAAAATAACCACTACATTATAAATGCATGGAATTTAATAATATGAAGGCTATCCCATTACTGTGTTCAGTTACGTGCCGTGGATAAGACTACAATAGAGTTCTGATCACTGCATTGTTGTAAGGATGTGATCAACTGAGTAAGATTAGATTTGATGTTTACAAGGATGTTGTCAAGACCAGAGAATATTACTTTTGAGAAAAGACTGGCTAGGTTGGCATTGTTTCACTTAGAAGAGAGGTCAATGAGAAATTTGCTTGTGGTGTAGATGATAATCTGGCTCTAAATTTGCGAACAATATTTGCTGCTATCAAGGTCCATTAAAGTTGCAGAGCCATGATACAGTAATATTATCAAACATGACGATTGAAGAAAATGATGAGGAACCTGGAAGATGGA